GTAGCTCTATATATACATCATTAAGCTCATTAGAAGAAAATAGAAGTCTCATTCACACGAGATACACGGCTCACACGCCTCTCTCTCTAGATCTCATTCGAGCTTTATCTTCTTCTTGTTGCTCCACTGGTACAAGTTGAAGAAAGGTGTATTGAGTAATACAGTAGAAGATCTGTAGGTAAACCGAGACGAAATATATTTTGACCTACAGAACTAACCGGAAGTCTGATTGAGACGTACAGTATACCCAGACGACCGTCTCGACGAGAGCTTTCCATTTCCGCCGACGTCACCAGATTCCGACGCCGCACACGCCCTCACGCACCGCCGTAGGAGCCTGACTGCAAAAATTCGTTTTGATCTGTTTGCATCCGTTTGATCCGATTTTGATCTAATCTTGTTCGTGCAACCCAAGACGTGATTTGCGGTCAATCAATTGCGGTCAACCATTCGTGGTCAGCCAGATCTGCATAAATTTTAAGCCGTAAGTTCTCTACGTCAAACCTTTAGATCCGCTGCGCATATGTTTACGTTTGCTATTGAATTCGTGATTTGTACATAACGAGATCCTCACAGATCCCAACAATAATAACGGTCATGTGCACTCAGTAGCTGCTACTTTCACACACTAAAATGTGTAATCCATTCTGTTGAATCAATAGTCTAGGTGAGCTGGGTAGTCATGTTGTGTATATGGTGTGTTGTTCGATTATTCACGGTCACCGTGTGATTAGTCTTATGATGTTCCCTAAGTGAGCTCAAGAAGGATTATTATGCAAAACTCTGCATGCGGATTGAATTCCGACATAATAATAAAGAATTGAGTGGTACTAGCATCAAATCAAGAAGTCAATTAATTATATTGTCAATAATTAAATTAAGTGATAGAAATTATATCTTAAACACAGGAGGTAAGTCGCGTAATTATAAAGGAGTCTCAAATGTAATTCGGGAGTTAAGTGAGGAGTTCAGTAATATATCTTAAATAGATTGAAATATTATTCAAGTATGAGCGGAGGGTGTCAGGCCCACAGTTGAGCCTATACTTGAGGAGCTCATATTTAGCACCTCCTTAGAATCCTTGTTGTAGCCTATAAATACACCCCTTCCTCATAAGCAGGGTCGGCTTTAGGGGCAAGCAACCAAGGTAAATGCCTAGGGCCTCAATTTTGTTTGGGCCTCATATTTTTTTAACTTTATCCATTTGTGTTAGGTTTGACCCATTACACAAATAAAAAGACTAGTTTAATGAAAAAGCTAATGGATAAATATAAACTTTAGGTGAGATATTTGAGACCCTAAAATATTTGATTTGTTTTCTTATTATGTTCGGTTTAAACAACTTATGTGAGAATAAGTATTATGTTGGGTCTAAACAAGTTTTGTGAGAATAAATATTTTCTGGAGTGATATGGTTTTTATTTTATTCTCTTTGGAGTCCTCGTGACTGCTTGAAGTTAATTTATCAAAGGTTTTTGTAAACCCAGAAGTAATTTATCAATTCCAATATCTATTTCAGGTATGATAGAAAAATATAAAAATTCATTTCTTTTCTAATTATTTATTTATTTAATTTGTTTTGTGAATTAGGTTTTTTTATCTTCTATAGATGGTAAAACCAAAATGTTTTTTTCAAATTAAATTTTGAATTAAAGCCAAAAGGATTCTAACTTACCGATTAAAAAAAAATTCTGACTGCTAATAATTTTTCCTAAAAATGTCTGGATTTTTGCTAAAAATGTCAGGGGCCTCCAAATTTCTGGAGATAGCCCTGCTCATAAGATTTCTTGAGAGCACGACTTCTTTGAGAGTTCTTGTGGGTTTGGAGAATCATCGGAAAATCTCTTAGATCTTTTCCCACGAAGACGAACGGATAGGTGTTGGTAATTCAACATAAGTCCCCAAGGTCAACTGAGGCCACGCACCACCAGACGCAGCCCCGCGACCACCGGCGATCCCGACAAACCATCGCGAGGAGCCCCAGTCTCGACGACGAGCACACGAGGCCAGACACGCACACGACGCACGCCAACTGCGAGCAGCAGCCCCAGCGACGCACGCCAGCCACGACCAGCAGCACACAATGCAAGCGATGCACACAACATCGCACAACTAGCCGAGAGACGGCAAACCCGGCGATGCATGAGATCGACAATCCCTGGCGAGCAGCGGCGAGACACTTGACGACCAAAGGCGAGACAGGTAGAGGAGGTGAGAAGATCGTCTCTAAGCCGTTCGTTCAGCACCGTAGGGCGTGTAGTCTTTACTGAGTCTACAAAAGTTTTAAACCGTAAATGTTCAACCGTTGCTTTAGTTCTGTTGCTTAGGTTTATTTTGTAGACGAATCCGTGACTTGCATAAATTCGACGTTCCTTATCGAGCCCCAACTGGTAAGATGTCTTGACCTTTCCTTGTATTCAATGTTCTTCCATATGGAGTCGATTTCCTTCTTGAATAGATCCACTTCATTGTTCCGAGATCCTCAGAATCTTCACTCAATAATTTTGCAGGAACAATGTTTCCCAGTTTATCTTATAAATCTTGGCCAATATCTTCATCAATCTTCAAGCGACTTGATTTTGATCTTCTCCTTTTGTGTGCACGATCTACTTGTGATTCATCTGCTCATCGTTGAATAAGTCATACTCCCTTTATCTATAAAAGTAAAATAACTCATTATAGTTAGTCATTAATAAGAACGCTAAGTTTGTCAAACACTTTGCAAAACTAATATTTTACAATCTATTACTATATAATAGATAGAGGAATTTACTTGAAATAGTATTAAAATTCTCATTTAATATTTTCAAAGTTACTATTTTTAGTATTTTTTTTTAAAAAAAAATGGCGGCTGAATGAATTTTCGAATTCAAATTTTAAAAAAAAAAATATTATTCGATAAAGATATTGTGTAAACCTTAATTCCTAAAAATATGGGCAATGATTTTCTTAAATGCTATGGGTAAATCTGACCAATAATGAGAAAGAATTTTGAAAATATTACTTGTAAAAAATTCTATCAATCATTTCCTTAAATCTTTTCGGTCAAGCGTGTAAATTTTAATTACAAAAATTCGGTCAATTATTTAACGAATAAAATATTTGAAATTTTTTGAAATCTTTGCGAAAAGTCATGCCAACTTAATTGTTAAATATTTTTTTATTCATATTTTTCTATCTACAAATCTCATATTTTATGGTCACAACTAAAATTCGTATTTATTTAATAAAGAATGTCAATTTCGGAAATTAATTTTATATTTCGGATTGTTCAACTCAATTGATGATTTTTTTGTCCATATTTATCTAGCTACAAAATCTTTAAAAAATCTCGTATTATGTGGATTCTTGGTACCTATTTTTTTGTACACATTCATTTTTTATTTAATATTCAAATTATAAAATTTAATGCGAATCTTAAATATCTCATATATATATATATATATTTAAAAAGCATGACAATTAATTTTATCATATCACGTGTTGGATGTTATTGGTTTGGTTGAGGACACTCATTATATTCAAATAAATAATATATAATTTTTCATATTTTGTATTTCTTTTATTGCAATAATGAGATGTTAAATATAAATAATTATATTTAAGAAGTTATAAAAAAAAATTAAGTAACAAGTTCGTCCATGCATCGTTTTCAATAACATCTCTCATTTTCTTAATTCATATCAATTTAATTATTATATCTTAAATATTATATAAATACACATGTAAAATTTCCAATCAGTTAACTTTTTAAAACTAACTCATTTTATTCAATAAATCAAATCAAAATTATTTTAACTATGTCGATCTCCACTAGTGTGTACCCCGTGCGATGCACGAGAACAATATTAAATTAATAATATTATAAATAGATCTCGAGTTTGAGTCACTGACGGAAGTGGAAACTACTATTGATCCTATTTAAAAAGAGAAAGAAAAAAAAATAATTATAAAGTAAAGAGGAGGATAAACAATACTTAATAATTATAAATTAAAGATTCGGGGTCAAACAATGTAAAACTATTTTGTATAAGAAAATATGAAATTTACATTATTTTGTATAAGAGAATATAAAATTTGCATGTTTAATATTAAAAACACCTAAAATATTATATTAGTATATATGTAAAAGTATTCAAAATTTTCTATATTATTTTTGAAAGATGTGAAGTCATCTACAACTTTTCTAAACAATTTTAGAAGGAAAACATATCTAAGAACATTTGAATTTAACATTGTGTAAAAAAGATTTTCTAGACTATTTTGTAAAGAAAATATGTCTATATTTAAATTTAATATGCGTATACGTACATATATATATATATATATATGCGCATGTTCTGTATAGTTTTTTAGAGATAATAATTCAACACGTGTATTTGTTTTAGGAAATGAATAACAAACTTAATATCAGTTTTGAATAATGATAAGGTGTATAAAATATCTTCTCCTTATAATAAGATTTTGTTTTTAATCTTAAAATTATCTCAGATATCTTCTCTTTATAATACGATTTTTTTTCTTAGGGTTACAATAAAAAAATATGTGATAAGGATGCTCGTGTGAAATGAGATTATTTCGTTACCATAAAAAATTATACATAAGGACGGCGTGCGCTATTAATGAGGCGTGTGAATTGAGTTATTTCATGAGAATTAAATCGGTATAATTAATGAGTTTAAAAGGCATGTGAAAAGGACATAATGAGCGTGTGAAATGGACATAAGAGTTACCGATTTTGGAAAGTAATAAATGCAAAATTGACTTTGACCATTAATTAAGTTACTAATTTTGATAAATGTTAATTCTTATTATATAAGTATAGATAACTTTTGATAAAATAAAGGGAAAAATTGAGAAAATTTTAGAAAGAAACGAGGAAAAGGAGCAAGTCAACAAAACAACTTCATACACAAACAACCCTTTTTTATCTCCCCAACCCAAAACTAACCCCCGACGCCACTGCATTTTTTCAAGCATCACACCCTATTTTACCCACAGTAAATAAATAAATAAATTACAGTAAATTACCTGCTCTTCACTCACTCTCTCTCTAGAATAACTCCGTCTAACACAAACCCTAACACTTATCTTTCATCGTCACCCTTCTCTTCCATTTTCTCTCACTAAAAGACCGAATCTGCTCCTCAGCAATGGCTTCTCGGAGGCTGATAGCCTCACTTCTCCGATCCTCCGCCGCCCGCCGCCCTACATCTCCGTTCTGTTCATCCCCGAAGCCCAGGCCCCGGCCGTCTCCGACCGGGCATTTTCTTCATCGCTTCGCTGCTCACTACGCCTCATCGGCAGCTGCGGCGGAATCTCCACCCTCCAAGGCGGCGCCTAGCGGCGGTCTCGGTGGGAAAATCACGGATGAGTTTACTGGTCAAGGCGCAATCGGAAAGGTGTGCCAGGTTATCGGCGCCGTCGTTGATGTGAGGTTCGACGATGGTTTGCCCCCGATTTTAACGGCGCTGGAGGTTTTGGATAACCAGATCAGGCTAGTTCTGGAGGTAGCTCAGCACTTGGGTGAAAATGTGGTGAGGTGTATTGCTATGGATGGTACTGAAGGTCTGGTTAGAGGACAGCGCGTGCTCAACACCGGCTCGCCGATTACTGTGAGTTTCATGTGACTATTGTTTCTTCAATTTGATTTTATGCCTTCAACTCCCATAACTATCGTATTCTTTTCAATCTTGGATGTTTGGGTTTGGTGTATCAAGTATTATTTCGATTGTAAATGTTTAGTTTCACATTAGGCTCACCATGTCTTAGATGAAAGCTTACAGTTTGTTTAGTTTCTTATAGGTCAGTGATCTCGTTATTATCTCAATTGTTTCTCAAATGGCCTTAAACATGCTTGATTCTAGTGGAAAGTCGTGATGTTTTAAATTGTTCATACAAATTCATTGCATCATTATGACTTGATTTATTGATAATGTGATTCCTTGAAAATATCCCATGCCTGTACGTAGTTTTCATATTATATAGTCACCTGTGCTCTTTTGGGGTTTAAAAAAGATGAGAGGATTATGTGCCTTATGAGAACTTTACCATATGATTGCTATTAATTTCAGTCCCTTCGGGTGTTTTTACTTTCATGATCTATCCCACCAGAGTTTGTTCGGTCGATTTCAATTCAGCTCCTTTTAAATATAGGTGCCTGTTGGTAGAGCCACTCTGGGTCGCATTATCAATGTTATTGGAGAGCCTATTGACGAGAGAGGCGATATTAGTGAGTAATATTGTTTTGTCCGTTATATATAAAATATTTCAGTGACTGGATGTCGGTTGCAGCTTTACTAACAAGTGAATGATGATGCAGAGACGGAACACTTTTTACCCATTCACCGTGAAGCTCCAGCCTTTGTGGAGCAGGCTACAGAACAACAAATTCTTGTCACTGGTATTAAGGTACTTTCTTGCTGGTCCTTCTTGAGCATCCCTGGTATCTCCTAACTTGTGCAATTCACTTATGACGCAGTTTCTTTTTTGGGTTTTAACTTTCTTTTATTTTCTTTTTTATTTTCCTCTCTTCCTCTGGCCAGGTTGTCGACCTTCTTGCACCTTACCAGAGAGGTGGAAAGATTGGCCTTTTCGGCGGTGCTGGTGTTGGGAAGACTGTTCTTATCATGGAACTTATCAACAATGTTGCGAAAGCCCATGGTTGGGTTCATTTTCTGATGCTTGTTTCATGAATCTCTACTATGCTTAGCTCTCTCTGATCTCATTGTTTTTCCTATTTTTCCTTTTCAGGTGGTTTCTCAGTCTTTGCTGGTGTAGGAGAACGTACACGTGAGGGAAATGATTTATACAGAGAAATGATTGAAAGTGGTGTCATCAAGCTAGGTGACAAGCAGGTTGGCATCTCTTAAAACATAATTGTAGTTATTACTATTATATTCACTTTTGGCTCAGATTAATCTTTTTTACTGGCTGTCAGGCTGATAGCAAATGTGCCCTAGTCTATGGGCAAATGAACGAGCCCCCGGGTGCCCGTGCTCGTGTTGGACTCACTGGATTGACTGTGGCTGAACACTTCCGTGATGCTGAAGGACAGGACGTGCTTCTCTTCATTGACAACATTTTCCGTTTTACTCAAGTAGGCTTTTCTTGTTCAGTGCAACTTTTATTCCTGTGGTTATTTCATGCATTGGTGGTCTGATGCCCCCTTTATAAACTTTTGCAGGCTAACTCAGAAGTGTCTGCTTTGCTCGGACGTATTCCCTCGGCCGTCGGATATCAACCTACACTTGCTACGGATCTTGGAGGCCTTCAAGAGCGTATTACTACGACAAAGAAGGGTTCTATCACATCTGTCCAAGCCATATATGTGCCTGCTGATGACTTGACGGATCCTGCCCCTGCTACTACATTCGCTCACTTGGATGCCACTACTGTGTTATCGAGACAGGTAAAATATCTATATGTATACCCATAAGAATCTCTATAACTAAACCTCACTACCTTTCAAAGTCATGAATACTGCATTTGTATATTACACTAATTTATGATTGTACACCCTTCATATGGGTTACTTTGCGAAAAGAATGCTAATCTGATGTAGAAATTTGTGATTCTGAATTGAACCTAGTTCTTTGGTGTAATGAGCATTAAATGTCTATTTCACATATACATACCTATAACACACCCATATGATCCCCCTGGGTACACATTGCAATTGGCTACATTTTTCTTTGGCATTGTTGTTTTGTTACAGATTTCTGAGCTTGGTATCTATCCTGCTGTGGACCCTCTGGACTCAACGTCCCGCATGCTTTCTCCTCATATCCTAGGAGAGGGGCATTACAACACTGCACGTGGTGTGCAGAAGGTTCTTCAGAACTATAAAAATCTTCAGGATATTATTGCCATTCTGGGAATGGATGAGCTTAGTGAAGATGACAAATTGACTGTTGCCCGTGCTCGGAAAATCCAGCGTTTCCTGAGCCAGCCTTTCCATGTTGCCGAAGTTTTCACGGGTGCACCTGGGAAGTATGTTGAGCTGAAGGAGAGTATTAACAGCTTCCAGGTATGAAATCAATTATCTTATTATGCATATAAACAGCTTCCAGTTATGAAATCAATTATCTCATTATGCATATAAAGCACGTGAAAGTATTACATTTTCTATGCGGTCATGTAAGATGGTTGGAGCCCCCAACCAACCACACACACACACCCCAGAAACAACAAATAAATTGTATATGTTGTATGTTTGAAAAAAAGAATGGTATGCCTGAAATAGTTTTGTGTTTGGTATATAATTATATATATGTGTAAGAGTTGAAGCTCTAGTTAAGCTAGGGTAACAGTCTCCTAGTGGATACATTAAACTTTCTCCCTTAAGAGTGTGATAATAAAGTCCGATTGTGGTTTTATGGCACTCAGTGAGCTTATTTGATCTTAGGAGAGCTAGTGGGGTGTGTGTGTGTGGTGATTTAGTCTTTGATTCATTTCTGCTAAACTTCAACTGTAATATTCATGGAGATAAACTCAAGGTTTTTTATTTGCTGCCTAGAATTTCCACTTGTGGTGTAACTACTTTTAATTCTGTCATCATACAGCATAAACCTTCTCTGAAGCCCACATACTGTTTCTCTCTGTTTTTTTTGGGCATCAAAACTGATGCATTCCTTGATTGTTTTTCACCAACAGGGAGTTTTGGATGGGAAATATGACGATCTTCCAGAACAATCATTTTACATGGTTGGAGGTATCGATGAGGTTATTGCTAAAGCCGAGAAGATTGCCAAGGAATCTGCTGCTTAGATTTAATACATCAAACACCTTTTGCATTATTGGCTTCCCCTTTTTTCCTGCTGTACTGATAATCGCGAAAATAATATATAGCTCTTGGCTATGCTGGGATCTGAGAAGTTATTTTTATTGAGCTTCCAAATGCATCTTTCCTGTTTTGTATTGTTTGTGTGGGCAATGATACTGAAGTTGGGCCAGTAGGGGCATCCTTTCAAAACCCCTCTTTTTTTTTTTCTTGTCGTGTGACAATAAGGCGGAGTGTAGACAGCAAACTTGTATGTTTTTGCTTGATTTACTTTTCAGAGTACTTTGGATTCATCATCAGGTTCTTATTTATTTTTGTTCAAACCAAGTATATTTGCAGTTCAGTTGTATGTATGAATGATTCTGGATACCCATGAGCATCTACTCTAAACAGATTGACCTGGTTATAGTTTATTATACAATTTAAGAAAATTTCAATTTGTGGGTGGTGGCATGAACTGGGGTACTGTATGTTGGACGGCAATAGGATATCTGAATGTGGGATCCTGAAGGATGTCACAAGCTTTTTGGCTTTGCAAATTAGGTCTGTGGTTTTTTTTTTCTTTTTTTTTAATGATAAATTTTATAAATAAAAAATACATAATTATAAATAGAGAATAACTACAATTAGTTAAACAACTATGTAGTTGAATCTAAGGAGGAAATCCGAAAATTGGTAGCCTAGAGAACTAGGCTAAACAAAAAATTAAAAAATCCTCACCAGGGAAGAATATTATTCTTACAAGAGGATAAGCTATTAAGAAAAAAAACTCTCACCTGGGAAGAATATTATTCTTACGAGAGGAGAATAAGCTATTAAGAAGGAAAATAAAACAACTCACTAACAAAACTACTGAAAACACGAACACAGACACAACACACAACACAATCACTAGTAACAATAGATTAACATCCTCCTCTCAGCCAGCAAACAAACTGCAACACACCGCGACCCCACTCCTCGAGATAGTCACCCAAAAGGATAGAGCTCCGACTCGAGTACCGAACCAGAATCAAAAACTCCAGTGTAGCCACGGCTAGATGAAACTGCACCAGACGATCAAAATCCTCTCCTGGACAGACCATCCCCAGACCGGTGATCCCCTCTCCCCATCCACCCTACAGCTCCCGCAAGCCCACCAGATGGCATGGCAGGAGCCGCAGTCTGCCTACCAAACGCACTAGCCAAACCATCACCGACCTCCAAATACCAGGGAGACGGACAAAGGGGAAGAGGAGAAACCCTCACCTTGACATAGATGACCGGCGAGTGCGGCGAAGCTCTACACCAAGGAGGGAGCCGCGGCACCTAAAGGGACGAGCCTCGCGGCTCGTTGACGTCGACGCTAAGGCAATGCAGAAAGCCCAATTGAGAGGAGGCGGCTGGATGAAAAATCGAAGGTTTCTTATGGGAGGGATTTGGGGGATTTTCAAACTCTCTTAAATGAGAGCATCAATAATGCCTGAAGGTTGGTTTTGAGTAGGATGCCACATTGTGCTATCGTTTTATAGTCGAGCTTTAATAGTATGTTTGCCCATTTTTAATTATTTATTTGATCAAATAATGAAGTGTTAGGTGCACGGGTATCTCGATTCTATAAATAATGCTTGTAAGCCATTTACCAAATTCCTCATAATCATTTTGGAGATAATTAAAGAATGCAATTCACTGAGCTTTTTGTCATATACTTAGAGTGCACTACACGCACATGGTGATAAATGTTTTTAGCTGACTAAATTTAGTAAAATAATTTAATTAATTTGCAAAACATATCACTGTAGGAACAAAATAAAATGTAGAACATATGAACTCCTAATGTATATATAAAAATAGTGAAATAACATATTACAACTCCAGTAAAAATATATAAAAAATGAGCGAAACAAATACTAAATAACTAAATAAGGACCAAATGTATATTACAAATGCATTATTTTTCTATCTATTTATGATTCAAGAGTTATTTTCGTTCATTTTGGTTTTGACGTTTTCACAAAAAACATTCATATTTGGTGTGCGACGACCTCAATCTGCCTTGCATGACACGGATCTATGTCTTGACATGTTCGTAGACCTGCAAAATAGGCCTAAAAGGGTTTCCGGCGTTAGCACTATTTGTCCCATTTTTGTTGCATTTTTCGTGCTCGTTTTGCTTTTCTTTTTCCCCCGTTTTAGTTCTTTTCTTTAGTCTTTAGTTAGTTTTGTGTTTTATTCTGTGTTTTCCTTCATTTTGAGTCCTTAAGTGTTTTTCGTTTGTTTTTTCGATTTTCTTCGTATTTTGTCGTTTTTTGTGTGTAGGTCGGAAGCTTTGGGAGAATTTTCTCAACAGGAAAAATTGGTTTCGAGAGCATAGTTGAATAGAGGGGTTCGTTGGCAACGTATAGCAAAAAACAAAACTCAATTCCAAATTTGAACGAGCCCGAAATATAAAGTGGCGCAGTGCAGCCCGAGTCGCGACTCGCAACATGAAAGTCGCGACTTGTGAGATGAAAGTCGCGCATTCAAATGGCATATACAAACATTACACAACTACATGCTTGATCTCTATACTTCGACTTGGCGTTCTCTCAAGTATGGGAATATATATATGTGTACCTCACTCAAATTCTTATACAGATAAAGATAGGTGCACTCAAATTGGTCGATAACAAGTTCAATCATATGCTTGCCCGTTGTCTAACTTCTACTCTAAACCAATCAAAATCGAAACTAGTGAATCAAAAGGTCTTTCTGGGTTGTAACGTAGGCTCTTTGGATATGTAGGATAAATATAGGCTAAGTGGCTCGAATACATAACTCAAACTCCTAACCCAAGAACTACAAGCTCAACCGGTTGCTCAAACATACCGGATATTCCCCCACACTTCTCCTAAAAACACACGTTTCACCAACTTATTTTCCATGTCTTCAGGTCGCAAGTCGCGACTCGGGCTGCACTGCGCCACTTTACGTTTTGGGCTCGTTTGGGCTTGTTCGAACTCGGAATTGAGTTCCGTTTTTTGCTATGCGTTGCCAACGAACCCCTCTATTCAACTATGCTCTTGAAACCAATTTTTCCTATTGAGAAAATTCGCCCAAAGCTTTCGACCTACACACAAAAAACAACAAAACACGAAGAAAACCGGAAAAATAAACGAAAAACACCTAAGGACTCAAAATGAAGGAAAACACAAATAAAACACAAAACGGACTAAAGACGAAAGAAAAGAACTAAAATGGGAGAAAAAGAAAAACGAGCACGAAAAATGCAACAAAAATGGGACAAACAAGCACTCAGATGATCAAGTCAGACACAGTGATGAAGACGATGAACAATAGATTAAAACTCTGTAAATATATAGAATATATAGAGAGTGTAGAGTCTAGATGGACATTCCTCACCCCTTTATATAGGGGTGTTACGTTGTTGCAACTTCTACTTCTTGCAAAGTTGAACAGTGATTTCACTACTCTGAATGAACTGTGGAAAGGCGCAAGCCCAATTTGTCATAATTTTAGGTAGTCCGACACATGTGTTGGTTCAGGATCCTGATAAGTTGGAGAAACGTTCGGAAGGCTGCTGTTTGTGGGCTATACCAAGGGAATGAGATGAGATTTATTTTATAGTTTCAAGGATCAGAAGGTGATCGTTAGCACGGACGCTATAACTTGTCTTAGAGGAGTTGAGGGTGAAGTCGAGAATCCAATACTGTGTGTGCAAGTAGACACACTAAATAATATTGCAACATGTGTCACTAAGGATGCGTCTGTGTAAGTAGTACCTCGTTGCATTGAGAGGGTTGTTAGACAACCTACTAGATTTATGAGAAAACCTTTTCACCGGTAGCCATTCTAAAGTTTATTCGAATTCTCTTGGCCGTGGCCGCTTATATGGACTATGAGACTAGTACAACACTCATGTATTACACGACTGCTTGTTAAAAAAACTATTTTTAAATTTTAAAATTAATGAGAAAAAAGTGTTTTAAAATTTAAATATTATTTTACAAAAGAGTATATATTATTACATATTTTAAAATGACACTTGTTACTTGTGCGACTTACATGTGTTATATTATAACATTTTTCTAACTTATATCATATAATTACTTTAAACAAAAATATATAAATTGATAAATAATTTTATTTTTCTAATTAATATTAATAAATAATTTTATTATTATTAAAAAATATAAATATAATTTATTTATTATAAATAAAATATGGATGTCAAATCAAAGCTCATCAAAAGATGATTAATTTGATATATTATATATATAACTGATAAAAAATACAAAAGTTATTAACTTTTAAATACATTTACAATTCAATNTGGATGTTAAGATGGCTTTTCTTAATGGAAGTCTTCAAAAAGACATCTATTTGCATCAACCAAAAAGGTTCGTCGTAGAGGGCCACGAACATCTAGTTTGTAAGCTGAATCGGTCTATTTATATACAGAAGCAAGCTTTCAGGTCTCGGAACATTCGTTTCGAGGAGGTGATCTAGTCGTAAAAGTTCACTCAATGTCCGAATGAGCACAGTGTGTAGAAAAAAGAGACAAAAACGTGGAGGTGTTTCCTGTGTTGTACGTAGACGACATCCTTCTCATTAGAAACAATGTAAATGTGTTGTCAGACGTAAATATATGGTTGTCCAAGCAATTTGATATGAAAAGATTTGGGGAAAACATGACACATTTCGGTATCAAGGTGAATTGGTGCCGCAATAAGAGAATGTTTTGCTTACCCCAATCTTTGTACATCGAGCTGTCAAAACGGGCCGACGGGGCGGGCCGGCCCGTAGCCCGCCAAAGCCCACCTAATGGCGGGGCGGGGCGGGGCGGGGCGGGCTTGTCCGCCATCCTGGCGGGCCTAAGAAATACAGGCCCAACCCGCCCCGCGGGTTTGGCGGGCTTGGCCTGCCAACTATTGAAAAAAAAATGATCTATAAATGAGCTACTGAAGGTTTATCTCATATAAAACCCACAAAAAACCAAATCCACATAAATCGATTTGAGTTGAGGTGTTCATCTCGCTGGACTTCAGCCACTCACCACAATAGCAACCGCCGTCACACCCCAATTCTTCATTTTTCTCTCAACACCAAAAGAAGAGGTGAAGTACATATCTTAAAAAAGGTACCCAATTTTTTAATTGATATCCTGCCCCATGAACCCGTCGATCGGCCGAGGGTGAAGCTGTGGGCAATTGAGAGTATCCTAGAGGTAAATGTCCGGTGGAGGGTGGCGGAAAGGCGGAGTTCCATGAAGTCCGGCGGACAGGTGGAGTTCGTCAGATGGTGGAGTGCGATTTAGGGTTTGGATGATTTGGGGATGAAGGAGGGGCATTATTTTTTTGTTTACGAGTAGTGTCAGTAGGCCCAGTACTAATCCACAGAGTCTAGGACCACTACATTACATAATTTACATTGCTAATTATATTTATGTATTTTTTATTTTTTTAATTATCAACGGGCCACCCCGCGGGCTAGCCAGCCCTGCCCGCCTTAGCCCGCGGCCCGCGCAGGCTTAGAAAATCTCGGCCCAACCCGCTTCTTTTACGGGACAGGGTGGGCCAGCCCGCGGGCTAAGGGCCAAATTGATAGCTCTATTCGTACATAGACACTGTCCTGGCTCGTTTTAGCATGCAAGACTCCAAGAGAGGGTTGTTACCCTTTTGGCATGGAGTTCCACTATCCAAGGAGATGTCTCCCAAGACGCATAAAGAGATAGAGGACATGAGAAAGGTTCTTTATGCATCGATAGTAGGATGTCTCATGTATGTTAAGTTGTGTACGAGGCCAGATATCTCTTATGTGTTAGGCATGGTGAGCTGGTATCAAAGTAACCTGAGACAGGGTCAATGGACCGCGGTGAAGCATATACTTTGGTACCTGTAGAGAAACAATGATTATATGTTAGTCTACCATTCAGATCAATTGATTCCTGTGGGTTACACCGATTACGACTTCCAGTCAGACTGGGATGAAAGTAAATCTACCTTAAGGTTTGTGTTTACTCTGGGAGGTGGAGCTATAGTATGGAGGAGTGTCATGGAGAAATGCGTGACAGACTCCACCATGGAGCCCGAGTATGTCGCAACTTCTGAAGCAGCGAAAGAGGTCGTTTGGCTCAGGACCTTTTTGTTGGAGTTGGGGGTGGTGCTGAGTTTGCCACGGGATATTGTAGTTTACTGTGATAACAGTGGTGTAGTAGCAAACTCGAAGGAGCCACGAGCCCATAAGGTGAGTAAACATATAGAGCGCAAGTACCACCTGATATGAATGATCGTTGGAAGAGGAGACATCGTGGTTCCAACGAGGAGACGTCGTGGTCGCCAAGATAGCATCGGAGGACAATCTAGTGGATCCTTTCACGAAGAGTTTGCTGACGAAGGTCTTTGACAGACACGTGGAGGGAATGAGAGTCAGATGTTAGACGATGAGATCGATATAAGTCTTTTAGAATAAGGATTGAAAGATGTATACTTAGAAAAGTGAAAGCTTTAGTATAAGTGAGAGATTATTAGTGTGTATATTTAAAGTTTGACTTTTCGCGTAATAAACACTATTTTCTTATTGAAATAGAATCATGTTTAATTAAACAATTTTACGTCAGATGTTTTATATTTGGATATTGTGGTTCATCACGGATGGATAGAAGACCACATGGTTACTTGTAAAATATAAATTATTAGTTCACAACCTAGATGAAAATGAACAATCCATTGCGAACGGTTGTAGTGTTAATTGTACAGTCTGTCTTGACTTATTGATTGCACTAGTACACTTTATGTATTGCACGTATCCTAAAGAAGATAAGTTTGTTTTATATTGATTAAGTAAACAAAAGAGACCAAATTAATTATACGTGCTCTTAACGCATAATATATAAACAGGCACGTGTATACAATTGCTACTTTGATTTACTAAAAAATGACAGTTGCTACTTTGATTTACTAAAAAATGAGATCTATTATGCTGGGTCAATAGTAGTCTGATGTGTTTTGGGTAGTCATGTTATATGTATAGTGTGATGTTCAAATATTTACAGTCACCGTGTACGTTACTCTAATAATGCCCCCAAGATAAGTTCAAGAAAGATTATTATGGTAACTTGCAGATTCTAACAGCCGTTGCATCTACTTTGGAATTTTTTCCGTCGAGCAGTCACCAGTCACCATACTATTTTTATCTACACTACAAAAGTAAAATTGCAGTAAATTCATACTGAGTAGTTTATATATTTATATATAAAAAAATAGTAAGTGGACAAAAAACAAAAAAAAAGGGGGGGAGTGGACCAAAATAGAAAGCACGTATTTCGTAAATACGTTTTCTGTGTAATTTAATTAAAAAACGTATTCATTAAATACGTTTTTTACATTTTTTTTACAAAGGAAAACGTATTCACGGAATACGTTTTACAAATAAAAAATGCAAAAACCGTATTCACTAAATACGGCCTTTTCATTTTTGTCCACCCCTCCTTTATTTTTTTCTTTTTTGTCCACAACTTTTTTGTTTCTTTTTTTTGGGTAAAAGAATCAATTCATACTGCCCTTTCCTTTTGTACACCGTCCCACACAAACCCTACTGGCCTACTGCACATTTTCATTTCACACCATTTTTCTTCCCTTCTCTCTTATCAGTCATCGCCATGTCTTCTCGGAGGCTGCTGGCCTCATTTCTCCGTTCCTCTGCCGCCCGACGCCCTAGATCTCCCTTCTGTTCAGCCCCCAAGCCCACTCCCCGGCCGTCTCCCACCGGCCATTTTCTTCATCGCTTCGCTGCTCACTACGCCTCATCGGCAGCTGCGCCGGCACCTCCGACCTCCAAGGAGGCTCCTAGCGGCGGTCTCGGTGGAAAAATCACGGATGAATTCACCGGTCAAGGCGCGATCGGGAAGGTGTGCCAGGTTATCGGCGCCGTCGTTGATGTGAGGTTCGACGAGGGGTTACCCCCCATTTTGACGGCGCTGGAGGTTTTGGATAACCAGATCAGGCTTGTTCTGGAGGTAGCTCAGCACTTGGGTGAAAATGTGGTGAGGTGTATCGCTATGGATGGTACTGAAGGGCTGGTTAGAGGCCAGCGTGTGCTCAACACTGGCTCACCGATTACTGTATGATTTGATTTGTTTTTCTTCTATTACACCTTTGTTGAACGCCTAGATCTATCTTTGCTCATTCGAATCTTGAATGCTTGGTTTGGTGTATCTTATCCAGTTGCGAATTTTCAGTTGGACACTAGATTCACCATGCTTGAAATGAAAGCATAGTGACAATCTACAGTTTAAGCTTCATTGTATTTTATTAAAGTTTTTTATGACTGCCCATCTCACTGTTGGATTGAAAGGATATGAGTGTACTTGGATGTCACTGTTGGATTTAAAGGAGATGAGTCTATTTGGATTATATGCGTATATCCATTTTAAGATCTGATTGCCATTGGCTTGAGTTCCTTTGGGCATTTTTTACTTTCATCATGATTTATCATACCAGGAGTTTGTTTGGTTGATTTTATTCTGCTCCTTTTAATTATAGGTTCCGGTTGGTAGAGCTACTCTAGGTCGCATTATCAATGTCATTGGAGAGCCTATCGATGAGAGAGGCGATATAAGTAAGTACTATTTTCTTTATTCATTAAAAAACTATATCTTAGTGTTGGCTGCAGCTTTTACTAACTAATGAATGGTGCTGCAGAGACTGAACACTTCTTGCCGATTCACCGTGAAGCTCCAGCGTTTGTTGAGCAAGCTACAGAACAGCAAATTCTTGTCACTGGTATCAAGGTACTTACTTTCTTACTGATTCTTTTTGGTGGATCCATGTCTTCACATACCAACTTCTTGCACATTGTGAATGGTCAATCAGTTTCTTTTTTGTTTTTTATTTTGTTAACTATTTTTTTCTTTTTCTTTTTCATCTCTTCCTCTGGCAGGTTGTCGACCTTCTTGCACCTTACCAGAGAGGAGGAAAGATTGGGCTTTTCGGTGGTGCTGGTGTCGGGAAGACTGTACTTATCATGGAACTTATCAACAACGTTGCAAAAGCTCATGGTTGGGCCCTTTTTGTGATGCTGTACTCGTACATATTTCTTGTGCTCATCCCTAGGTGATCTCATTGTTTTACTTATTTTCTTGTCAGGTGGTTTCTCTGTCTTTGCTGGCGTAGGAGAACGTACCCGTGAGGGTAACGATTTATATAGAGAAATGATTGAAAGTGGTGTCATCAAGCTAGGTGATAAGCAGGTGAGCGTTTCCTGAAATTTAGTAGTTCCTAACATTAGAAATTATTTATACATTTCGTATCCAGATTTATATTTTTAACGGGCTGACAGGCTGATAGTAAATGCGCCCTAGTCTATGGCCAAATGAACGAGCCCCCGGGTGCCCGTGCTCGTGTTGGACTCACTGGATTGACTGTGGCCGAACACTTCCGTGATGCAGAAGGGCAGGACGTGCTTCTCTTCATTGACAACATTTTCCGTTTTACCCAAGTAAGCTGTAGGCTTTTCTATTTCATGGCACCTATATGGATTTATATTACTCTTCTTGTTTCACATATCGGTAATATGCCATTTTGTTTAAACATTTTTAGGCTAACTCAGAAGTGTCTGCTTTGCTTGGACGTATTCCTTCGGCCGTCGGATATCAACCAACACTGGCTACAGATCTTGGAGGCCTTCAAGAGCGTATTACTACGACTAAGAAGGGTTCTATTACATCTGTCCAAGCCATATATGTGCCTGCTGATGACTTGACGGATCCCGCTCCTGCTACTACATTCGCTCACTTGGATGCCACCACTGTGTTATCGAGACAGGTGCAACATATGTATATGCATTCTTTAGCAAACTATAAAACATACACTTTGAGATTCGATGTAACTACATTAATCCAATATCTTTGAAGATTATGAATGCCTCATTTAATATATTCTACTAAATCGCAAATTTCACCTGTCTATATTGATTTATTATATAAATGAATACTGACCTCAATATGGGTTTATTTTATAAAAGAATACTTTCCTCATGAGTTTATTAATGATTTTAAAATGCAGCTGGGTTCTTTTTTATACTGACCTTAATATTTTTTTTCTTGTATGTGCAAACATATATCAATAAATCTTTGGAATTGTTGTGTTACAGATTTCGGAGCTTGGTATCTACCCTGCTGTGGACCCTCTGGATTCAACATCCCGCATGCTTTCACCTCATATCTTGGGAGAAGGGCACTACAACACTGCCCGTGGTGTGCAGAAGGTTCTTCAGAACTACAAGAATCTTCAGGATATTATTGCCATTCTGGGAATGGATGAGCTTAGTGAAGATGATAAATTGACCGTTGCCCGTGCTCGGAAGATCCAACGTTTCTTGAGCCAACCTTTCCATGTTGCGGAAGTTTTCACGGGTGCACCTGGGAAGTATGTTGAGTTGAAGGAGAGTATTAACAGCTTCCAGGTATGATGATGTTTATACATCTAAAGCATGTGCAAGTATTATTTTTATATATTCTGTCACTGAATTTTTACTTGAAATAGTGGAGTTCTTTTCTTTTTCTTTATTTTCTCAATGTTTGTAGAAGGTATATCTCTTGGGTGGAAGGTGCCTGATATTTATTTGGTGTACATTTTGATCTTTTGTTAAGTAATATTAGAAGAGTTGATGCTCTAGTATTGGAAAGGTATGTTTCTTGGATACAATACATTAGGGCTTGATTGTTTATGATATAATTTGTTCAAAATGAGTTATTTTGGTTGACCATAGTTAATTTTGAAAAATGTGGTATGGTTAGTTGTTAGTGGAATTTTAAGAATGTATTAAAATAATATTTAAAATAAAATGATTAAAATTGATATGATGTAAAAGTAGGAGATAAATGATTGGAAATGGTAGGTAGTTAAAATTATGTGAGTGGATGAATAGTGAATTAAAGTTGATGTGACGTGTAAGAATGATTGATTTGTTTTATTTAATTATATGAATAATATTAAAGATAGTAGGGTTGAGTTAAAGTTGAGTTAGATTTTGAGTATGAAATAAAAGTGAGTAAAATAATATATAAACAATCAGGCCCTTAATATTTAAAAAGGATAGGTTCATTCTGGTGTAGAAAGTGGCTGACTTTTCTTTCTTTTTAGTTATTATTATTGGAAGAGTTGAGGCTCTAGTTAGGCTAAAAGTTAACACTCTCCTCTTAGAGGCTGTAGTGAACTGATGCTTCCAAAATAGCCTGATTATAATTTCGGATTTATGGTTTTATCTTATCACGAGAGGGTGGGTTTAAGTTACCGCTTGCAAAGCTACCATCGAGGTTTTAACTTTTAAGTGAACCCTGATGAGGGTATTACAAAAACTTCCTTGAAGGCTTGTATTTGACCATCTGTTGTACAGAATCTACAGATTGGCCCTTCAATTCCGTGTGCTTGTAAAATAAAAATTGTTTGGCTTATCATTTTGAAATATGTCACGCACATTTGATGATTTCATCGTTTCTGCTAAATTTCACCTGTAGTATTCAATACTATTTGTGGATAACCTCAAGATTTGCATAGGAATTTTTACTTGCGGGTATCTAACTACATTTTTGTCTTCTAATAGTAAATACCTTATTTACGGTACACACATTTTTTATTTTTATTTTTTTAATTCTGTATCTTATTTTCTTTTGGCTATCAAAACTCTTGCATGCACTTTGCAACAGGGAGTCTTGGATGGGAAATACGATGATCTTCCGGAACAGTCGTTCTACATGGTTGGAGGTATCGATGAGGTGATTGCCAAGGCCGAGAAGATTGCCAAAGAATCTGCAGCTTAGAATTACATGTCAAACACTTCTTTCAGTGTCTCCTTCGTCTTTTGTTCCGCTATATGGATAATCGCGAAAATAAAATAACTCTTGGCTTTGCCAAAATTTGAGATGTTACTTCTCTTGGGCGAACAAATTTCGCCTTCACTGTTTTTAGGCGTCGTGCGGGCAATGATACTAATGTTTTACGGATATGTGCCTCCTATCAGAAGCCCCTTTTCTCTTGTCGTTTGAGCCAATAAGCGTGTATAATTTTTTTAGCCTCATCAGACTCATCATTGACACCATCTTTGTTATCAATCATCGAATGATAGACTGGTTTTTGGGTGGAGCCGCATCTAATTAGCCTGACAGGCTTCAAAACATTCTTGATAATACCATATTTGGATTATATAATTGATCAACCAAAAAATAAATAAATAAGTAAAAATTTCTCAAATTGGAGAAATTACAGCATACAGCATGATTGGTTGGGCTCATTGGACTTGATATCATTCCACTAGGTATTATATTACGGACGTGTTTGTTAGCCCGAATAGGACTGATTTGCGCCACCAATCTACCATTTATCTGGCGTTGGTTATGGAGATATTGGCCCGTGAGTTATGATACAGCTCGCGATGCATAGTATTGGATTATGGGATTATTTTATCATAGATAATTTCACTTTTAAATAATTAAATTCACACACCTATCACTAAAAATAAATATTGTTGATCATTTTAACCTCGGTCAAAGCAAAAATTACTATGTATGCCATTTCTCTAAACTCATAAACCCACCTCTCTTTGACATTGGATTGACACTATGGATGCTCGCCACCGCAGCTACCAACGCGAGTGTAGAAGGAGGTGGAGACAGAGGGTATTAGAACATCTCCAATGGTTTGTGCATTGTCTCATTCCATTGCCACATGGCCCAAAAAATCCAATGTGGCATGTAAAAATTCTAGAAAGACATCTTCTATCTATATTATATTATTTATTTTATATATCTTTTCTCCACCAACTAATTATTATCTTACACATACCAATTATTCTACAATTGACATTCACCATTGGAGACAAACTATTTTTATTTCTTTTCTCCACAACATACATATAAAAATAGACATTGTGCTATTGGAGATGCTCTTATAGAATCGACAACGTTGGGCGGGAGCTGTAACCGCTAGCGGGTTGGTGCACGGCGAAGTTTAAGGAATGAACGAGATGAAAATTGGGGAGGTGAAGACGCCCAAATTGGATTCGAGGTGCTGAACGACAGCGTTGAGGGAGGTGAAGCAATTGGCCCCGCGGAAAAGAGTGTTGGTGAAGGAGTTCTCAAATTGGATCCTATTTGACTATTCAGTTTTCTCATTTTTTTTTTCTTTTTTTTGGGGGTCATATTTTCCACCCAATATTATCTAAATTTTCTATTATCTGGATTGTAGATTCTTGGCAACAATCCATCTCTAAGGAGCATGCTTGATTCCAGTCCTCAGCTTAGACATACTATGCATAATCTTGAATTCATTAGTCTAGTAAAACAGTCGAGATGATGGTCTTTTGATTATTATTATCATTATTGTTATTTTCATTCTCACCCCAACTCTGATAGGGAGTGAAGGAAAAAAAAAATGTATTTTAATATGGGGATAAATTTGTAAATGCCCATCTAATCATATCCAGAGTTGTGAAGATAATCTTATATTGAGTAAATCAACATAACAAACGTAAGTGTAAAAATATCTCTACACCCCAATATTGGACACCTATATAAAAATTATCTAATCCGGTCTTCCTAAACAAACGTGCCCTAAGAAGGTTAAGATGTTTGGTTGGGTACTTCTCTGCCCTGAAAACTGAGATAGGCCCTGACCAATATTCCTTAAAATGCTATTACTTTATCCCATCAAATTGGTGGAATGGTGTATCATTTCTCATAAAATCATTAAACACCAAAAAATACAACACTCCTCCTCCTCCTAACCCTTCATACAACACCCCAACGTTGTCCGATTTTCTCAAACATGTAGGAAAATAGTAATTTTGGATATTCGATTTTGGATACATAAGGTGATGAAGTGAGGCGATGGGGGAATGGTGGTGATGGAGGTTAGATATACACATAATAGTTTTGGATATCGATTTTGGATACATAGTGGTGATGAAGTGAGGCGATGAGGGAATGGTGGTGATGGAGGTTGGATATACACAACCGGGGTAATAATCTTGCAAACACTGTCGGATAAATTTAGAGAAAAATTTAAAAATTTAATTTTATATGAAGGGCACAAAAGTAATATCAACCTAAAGGTTATAATACTAAACCCTAAATTAAACAAGTTAATGGGCTAATTGAATTGATGAGTAGCCTTTGGAATAATCAAGGAGATGGCAAAAATTCATAACTTCCCAAGAAAAAAAAAACATTCCATGAAAAATATGGAAGACTAAGAATTCCAAAAATGCTAGAATTCTCCTAAAGACTATAACTGAAAATTAAAAAAGCAGATAATTAAGATTAACTTTTTTATAACGGATAATAAAACATAACATTTTTATTCATTTTAAATACAAAATACCGGTAATTACATATCAGATGTTAAAAAATTCAATTTTGAAAACAATTAAACTACTACCGAAGCAAATAGTATTGTGTCCTTCACAGATATTGTCCTACTGCACGCGGAGCACATAGTATATCACGGTCACCATAAACCTTTTGTACTTTCAAGTTTTTCCACCATGCATTCAAGGACGGATCAAGAAATTAAGAATAGACTGGGATTTTAAAAATTTATTTTCATAAAAATCACATAATATTTTTTCTTCAAATATTCATTAAAGTTGTGCTCGACGAGCTTTTACAAAAAAAATTCATTATGCTTATTTTGCACCGTATTTATTGTGTTATATATCACTAATTTGAGGTCGATCCCATTTTTTAGGAAACGATGATATCAATGGAGTTTTTCATTTCTTGGCCTAAGGTTGGTGCTCCATGTGAATTTCTAAAAATTTCATGATACAAATAAATAGATTTTCCACATGGAATAGTTAGGAACAAAATGAAATGCCTACGCATCATAAATTTAAATCCAAACTATTATTTGATCATGTGCACATGTATAGAGCAAAACAAAAAATTATATATTATATGTATGTATATGATATTTAAAATTTTAAATTAGATAAAGTGTGTATTAAATTTTAAAATTTTGACTATATGTAAATATATAGTATAAACATAAATTATTTAACTTCTATATAAATCAACTTTTTTTTATTGTATAACTATAATATAAGATAGGAATATTAGCTGTAAAATAATTTAATAGTGTATATTCAGAATATTTAAAATCTTCTAAAGTTGTTACAAAATAAAAAATTAATAATAATATTTTTTTACCTGTAAAACTGTCAATTGAATGCTGGTCATACAAATTTTTATTAAATGAAGTCTCATTTTTATTAATTATTGGCTAAATGAAATTTATTGAAGCTTGCAAGCAATTATATAGATATAGATATGATATACAACCACACTAGAAGATAAGAGATTAAAAAAAAACATACACATATACACGTGTACACACATAATTACTAGTTTATACACAATCAACAAAACAAGAATTGCAACCAAATGATCCTAGCAATTACTATTAAAACCCTAAATAGCTCAACTAAAGGAAAAGATAGATAAATTAGGAAATGATACGAATATGTAATAGGGGGTTTAAAAATATAGCATACTTTTAAAGAGTAAATTAAATCATTTTCTGAAAGTATATTTTTTGTTTAATAGTTTTTTTTTTCTTCTAAATTCATTGTTCTGGTGTTCAGAGGAGGGGCATAGCTGCGGCTAATTTATTTTATTGGAGTTTGGTGCATAGTGATGTTATGTGGGTTAGTTCCTAGTTGAAAGGGTAAATCAACAATATATAGTATTTTATTTGATATGGGATATTACACCTAAAGGAGTAACCGGTTTACTAGACTGGTCGAACGGATCCAATATCGAGAGGGCCACGCTGGTCGAATAACATCGAGCAGAGGGGTTGTGGTCGAACACTATGAGAACAGGACATGGAGGATTCCGTACGAGGGGTATAAGTCGTGGTGGGTTCTATTAGAAACGTTGGCAATATGCACATTCAAATCTATTGAATAATAAATCCTAAACGCAGCGGAATCTATAGTTAGGATTAGGACTTACGGTTTAAAATTTTTGCAGACTCAGAGACGTTTCTGATTTCCGTTGATGGAGATCGTCTGTCTACCATTACCCAATTGGTTGAAGGGTTTGGCCTTTGTCGACTCTAGTCGAGTGTTGAATCACGAACGGATCGCCTCGGACCTTTGGTATGTGAACCGGACCCTCCGGACAACTCAGATACCATCTTGGGCACGAACCGGGCTAACTGAGTCAAGCTGAATTGGGTTGGGGCAGTCTGGACTGGGTCGGGTCGGGTCTGGTCGCTGGTGCCGAGTCAGGTCGCGCCTGGGCCGGACATGGCTCGCTGGTACTGGGCCAGNGCCGGGCGTGGGCGGCGTGTGCGGGCGCGTCTGGTGGCGACTGGTCGCCGGAATTGCTCCGACGAGCTCCTGTTGCTCCGGTGGTCGTCCTCTCCTGTTTTGGTGGCCATCGGAGATTCTGCGCGGTTGAATATATCTAACGGGATGAACGTATAAATATATTCGACAAGATCCGAATTAATAACCTTCGAATCTTCTTTTGTATGACCTTTACACGATTTCCAATAAATCTTGGTGGAGCGATTTATTAGATTTTCCAAAGCCTCTCGATCTTCTTTTTCTAAAACTTCTCTGTTTTATCCGAATTTTCTCTGGAAGAAGGAACACTATTTTTTCCTACATATTTTAGGCGTGTAAGACCAACCCTCAACGTGTGGAATTGTGTGAGATTCATCATCTCAAGAGACTAGGGGACCTAGTGTATTTATAGGCTACAATAGGGACCCAAAGGGGGTGCTAAATATGGCTCTATCCCATTAGGCTAAGGAATCCTAGTTCTACTCCATATAATTTTCCAATCTAGGATATAATTCCTCCTACTACTAATTACCTTCTAGAAGACTCTTTAGTCTCCTAACCCTAAGTAATATCCTAGAAGGAATATTCCTCTCCTAATGGAATATTAATTATGGAATAAAATTAATTCCTTAATTTAAATAGAATTAAATAATAAAACATTCCACTAGAGTAATATTATTGCTCTCCCCATTTAGCTCCGAATTATAATTAATTCGTCTCTAATTAATAAATTATAAATTTAATTGATCGATTTATCTCCCTATGTTTAAGATATAACGTCCGTTGATTAATTAAATTACTGATAAAATAATTAATCAACTTCTTATCCATTTCTGAAACTAGTACCACTCAGATCATTAATCATTATGTCGGATACACATCCGCCTGCATGGCTTGACAAAATAT